CTAGTCTGGTTAAGTGTCTATGGAGATTTATTTATTTTTTTATTTCATTTTCTTACATATATACATACATACATACATACATACATATATATATATATATATATATATATATATATATATATAAGTGACAAATCAATTTCATTAATTTGCACTCGTCTCATAAATTCATTTAAAACATTTATCAATTGGGAGCATCTCCTTTTCACATCAAAATAGCCCGATATATATATATATATATATATATATATATATATATATATATATATATATATATATATTACAATGAACCATTCAGACAAAAAAAAATAAATTAGTAAAGTTAATGATATAAAATGGCGAAATCCATAATCCTCATCTCAGAAATATAGACAGGTATTGAACGTTTTTTGACAAAACTTCTGGTAACCTTGAAAATACGCTGAATTCAAGTCATTTTTACGTATTGTGATAGTTTTTTGCTATCGTTAGCATAATTATAACAAAGGGATATACGTAAAAATGTGAGTTATATAAGTAAAATCAACCAAATTCTAAAAGCCAATGATTTACACACCTAAAGACGTGTTGGCCTCGTCTGTTGAAGGACCGCATTCATGTTAAGTTTCGTGTAAAGCAGACAGTATAACAACGGAGACAAGTTAGCTAATGGCTCACTTTTGGCGCCTTTGCCTCCATCTTGTACCTCGATCGGACAGCCATGATACCGGAAGTCACACTCCAATGAGTCCACTCCACTCGATGCGGGCTGGCAAGTAGTGACCCGGATGTGAAATGTAGCACGATTGATAACGCTGACACAGAAGCGAACGTAAAGACTAATCAGAGTGTAAGAAAACACGCACACGTATGCGCACACACAAGCAAGCACACACACACACACACACACACATACATGTATGAGTGCCTGCATGTGTATATACACACATAGAAATATACTCCATATACACGCACGTCTTTGTATAAGTCACAGATTTCCATCTGCTTATATATATGCAAACGTATATTTACACTAATACCCACATACAAAAACGTTTATTCTGGCACTAATATTATAGCCAAATGAATACACACATGCACTAATACTGACACGCATGTAGATAGATAGATAGAGAGAGAGAGATGTATAAAGATAGATTTGTAAAGAGAGATAGATAAATCTGTACAGACTGGTAAATAGATAGATAGATAGATAGATAATAATAGATGATAGATAGATAGATAGATAGATAGACTTGTAAAAATGGATAGATAAATCTGTACAGATAGATAGATAGATAGATAGATAGATAGATAGATAGATAGATAGATAGATAGATAGATAGATTTGTGTAGACAGATGATAAATCTGTACAGATAGATAGATAGATAGATAGATAGATAGATAGATAGATAGATAGATAGATAGATATCTGTAGACTGATAGATAGATAGATTTGTAAAAACAGATAGATAAATCTGTACAGACTGATAGATATAGATAGATTTAGATAATAATAGATAGATAGATGAATAATAGATAGATAGATCTGTACAGACTGATAGATGATAGATAGATAGATAGATAGATAGATAGATAGATAGATAGATAGATAGATAAATCTGTAAAGACTGATAGATAGATAGATAGATAGATAGATAGATAGATAGATAGATAGATAGATCTGTACAGACTTATAGATAGATAGATAGATATGAATAGACTGATAAATGTAACCGTGACGGACAAGGTTCACTATTGGATCTCTTTCTCACATCCTACCTGGAATTATGTCGTGCTCTCCAGCTCTGTCCACTTGACCACTCCGACCACGCGTTAATGTCTATATCTATCTCTTTCATCTCTCCCGTCTAGAAAAAATCCTGCTAACAAAATATCTTTCACCGCACTGATTGGGACATATTTTGGTGATTTGCTTGGCCATGCTCCTTCAATTGCTATTTTTAATCATTCTATTGGGAAATGTGCAACTGATGTCTCTTCCTGGATGAATAAAAAGCCGGCATCGACACTTTCGAGGCAGCACGGAAATAACAAATGAAACAAATTCTTATCATCGGTTACCTCCTGCCAGTTCCTGCCGTTATGGACGACAGAAATCACTTCTTCCGGCTATACCCGATATATGGATTTTATACATTATACTTTTATTTACATACTTAACGAGCAAAGTTTTGACTCCCTGCTTAGCGTAGACGAGTACTTTAACTCGTACATAGAGAGTGCGATGGATAAATTGTCGTCTAAATGACACAAAAATGAACATAATACTGGCATCTCATTTTAACAGATATATTTAACAAAATTACACAAAAATGTCTTAAAATACAAAAGATTCAATACAATCGCCATTGACTTCAACCACGGCCTCCAAACAACTTCAGAACCTCCTTTTATAATCTAGTGTATTTTATTCATATATATATATATATATATATATATATATATATATATATATATATATAAAAACAACAGTAAGATATATAATCCAGTGTTCTTATAGGCATTTTTATTTTTACAAAAATAGTGTTCGATGTAAATTTACAGAGCATTAATATTGTAAATTAATTGATTTAAAATATGTTTTTTTCCGCTACACAGTTCTAACCATGTTTCAAAAAAAATTGCCGAATTTAATTTTGCAATTAAATTAAAGACATTAGTTCCATTTCATCCTCAAGCGAATTTTGGAGTAACTTTTAAAATTACCGGGTTTTAAAGACACAGCTAAAATCACGTTTCCATGGTTATGTCTCCATCATTGTATCGGTTATTAGCTAATAACCGATGCAATGATCTGAACATCAAAACCCAGATACCACTTGTCCAGTTGAAGTAGATTTATCTGTAACCATATTTACCATATTTTAAATCAATTAATTTATAATATATATATATATATATATATATATATATATATATATATATATATTTAAATGTACACCTTCAGTGTCGAAATCGTAGGTTATTAATATTAAAATTTTACAACGGTTAGTTTTCACTAAGTACCTGAAGATTGCTGCATACTTTAATCTCATATTGAGCCAAACAGTGGGTAAAATGTATATTCATTATTAATAGTACATATATATATATATATATATATATATATATATATATATATATATAATATATATATATATATATATATTTATTTTCCGGCATTTATTTTAATATATTTTCTGTAATTGTATTACGTTATTTTTAGACATACACAAGTGGATTTCCTGTTTTTAATTAAACAGTATTGATTACATTTACCGGCCTATATGTTCGAGAAATTTCGTATAAAATATTCGTTCAGGAATTGAACATATATTCCTATACGGAACCCGTCATTTGGCCTGATGATTCAGCTACAGAGAAGATATATTAAATGAAAATTCCCAGCGTATCTCGTTCATGCGCATGTGTAGTCGCATCAACGTTAACGTAAACTTCATCCGATAAAAGTCCTGAAGGAAAAAACGCGTCGCACCAAAAGGTTTTCTACTTTGTCATACATATATATATATATATATATATATATATATATATATATGTATATGTATGTATGTATGTGTGTGTGTGTGTGTGTTATCCAAGTTGATGTTTTTATGATAAAACTGGCATGCAACTTCTGTTAGCAAAATGACTAGTATATGATCACTTAGTAAATTTAAATGTTGATTTTAGCTGATAATATGTCTTTTCGGAAAAATTGGATTTTAGCGTAAATCTTTCCGAAGGAAAGATATTTACAAAATTTTATTTAATAAATGTTCCTAAATATATATATATATATATATATATATATATATATATATATATATATATATATATAATTAATTATTTAAAAATATATTTTTAAATAAATAATTATATTATCTCTACTTTTGTATCGAGCACTATTTTTTAAAAATAATAACTAAAATACTAAAGAACTTTGGATTATTTACCTAACGAGTTCTTTCCTATTTTCTATATATTGTTCACACACACACACACACATATATATATATATATATTTTTTGAATAAAAGACAGACCACGTTAAGATTCCATATAATAAGCTATTTCACCATAACCCCTTTAACAGGCTTCTGGATCATCAGACTTTACTTCCAAAAGCTGAAATGAAAAATGAAAAGAAATTCACACGTTTTTTACGGACCTCATCAAGTATACGCAAAGTTAACGAAGTGAGGAAGTGAGGTGGGAGAGAGGATATGAGTGTGTCATATGTATCATTTTAGTTTCCTATTTTAGGGGTTGTTGTAACGTCTTCCTTTAATGTAGTTCTTATCATTCACCCCTTAGCCACCTTTATCTAGAGACGAGACGCGTTAAATTTGAGCAACATCTAGCCGACACACTGGGGTTAAAATATATATATATATATATTTAATAAGTAATTATGCAAATAATTAATTGGCAATGTTAATTTGATTAATCGCGAAATCACATCGCCAACAAGACTTAATGACATTGCTAATTAATTCTTTGTATAATTACTTCATTATGATATATCGGTCCTGATCTGGAATCTAGTCTACAATCGCTATCGCACAGACGTGCTATGACCTCGCTCTGTCTTTTCTACAAGTATTTTCACGGCAACTGTTCCGACGAGCTACTGTCTCGGACTTCATGAATTTAAGCGTGCTACCAGGTTGACATCTTGGTCCCACTATTTCACTGTCAAAACGGTTAAATGTAACCGTCTCTTCGACTCAAACAGCTTCCCGTCTGTGAAACTCCCTTTCCCTTGCTTGCTCCCCTGAAAACTATAATCTTCAAATGTTCAAGTTTAATATCAATCGACATCTGACACCCTGAGCTTGCTTCCCGCCCTTCTCTTTATCCTTTCCTTAAAAATATAAATAAATAAGCAGAACACTCTAAAATATTTACGAAAATCAGATCCGCACTATATAATATACTAGCAGGAGAGCCCGGCGTTGCCAGGAAATGTAACACTAAGAGATAGGTCAAGTATCGACTATCATAAAGACTGAAAAATAAAATTGACAAAGATTATTGTTTAAGGTTGGCGGACACGCATGTCTTAATTAGTTCTTTTTTTTTTGTTTTGTCTTTTGTCTTTTTTTTTTTACGAATTACAAACTCAAACAAAAACATTGTTTTCAATCGTTATGAGTCTACCGATTGAATAGAATTTTATTATAAACAATTGTCTTGTAAATGGAATTTTTAAAACATTCTGAATGTAAAAATAAAGAAAAAATGTGAAAGACAATAAGAAACACTACCTACCAAAAAAAAAAATGAAGTTTTGTTGAAATCGGTTGAAAAATGTAGGAAATCCGATCCCATATATAAACGAACACACACAGACAACCAACCTGGGTTTTATAATATGTATAACTCGATAACTCGATATTAATAAGTATAACTCGATATGAGTTGCCCCCCTTTCATTAATGCCTCTTAATCGTGTTTTCAAATTGATTTCGTGCAAAAACAATTGTGTTTTTCCAATTTGAGGTGCTGTCAGAACCACCACAAGGTAATTTTACGTAGTCCTGTGAAGTTTTGTTGAAATCGGTTGAAAAATGTAGGAAATCCGATCCAATATATAAACGTACAGACAGACACACACCCACACACACACACACACAACGTGGGTTTTATAATAAGTATGATATATATATAGTATAATATATAATATATCTATAATATATATGTATGATGTATATAATATATGTATATAATATATAATATATATATAATATATAATACATATATATAATATATAATATGTATAATATATATATAATATATAATATATATAATATGTAATATATATAATATATATATATATATATATATATATATATATATATATATATATATATACATATATATATAATACTCAGAATCTTATATTCTGTGCAAAACTTTTAAGACATTTTACTCTACTAATTGAATTATACTTTAGTCCATGTCACTTTAACTGAAAAACGCACGCAACAACAAACTTTTGTGGATTTATCACATTACTAAATTCAAACAAAATTCTCGCTTGATTCATTTAAACAAGGAATCTACCGTTGCAAAAATAATATAACTGTCAATAAATAACATATTTAAAAAACAACCTTCGGTCTCCACTACATATTTTCCTCTTAGAATTTGCTTATATATGGAAATATTACGCCTCGATGAAGACAATTGTTGAAAGTATGAGGCTCGTCAATTCCATCTGACAATAACTCAAATATATGGATCGTATTATTCAAGGAATTGATAGTAAGTTAATGTCTCATTAAGTCTTGTTAGCGAAGTGATTTCGTCATTAATCACATTAATTTTTTGTATAATTACTTCTTTATCATATAATATATACGATGCACACTGTAATATATATATATATATATATATATATATATATATATATATATATATATATATATATATATATATATATTTTTTCACTTTTCGTTTCAACCTTTGGAAGTAAAGTCTGATAATCCGCAGTCCTTTTAAAAGGGCTGTGGTGAAATAATTTATTACATGGAACCTTAAAGTGGTCTGTTTTTTATTTAAATTATTTGCTCTGGATTTACATTGAGCTCTCTGGATTTTATCCTCCTTAGCTCTACCCATACGGATTACCTAGTTTTCCATAAACTAAATATACATATATATATATATGTGTGTGTGTGTGTGTGTGTGTGTGTGTGTGTGTGTGTGTGTGTGTGTGTGTGTGAAGAAATATAGTTTTAAGGTGTGCTATATTTATTTTCAATAATTACCTTAGAACAATTAAAACATTAATTGAAAATTTCAACAATTTCAAATTGTCATCAGCCGGGCGTAATATTTCCATATATAGGCAAACACTAAGATGAAAATTTGCAATGAAAAAAACTGGCTTTAAGAATGTAAAATGAAGTGACCTGAGAAAACTAATAACATTAATATGCAAGAAAATTGAATGGACCAGCAAGAAAATATTTGAAAATGTCATTTTGGCAAATGTAAATTAAAAAAAAAAAAAAAAATGAAATATGCAGAACATTGGAGAAAATCATGAAAGCAACCAGATTTCTTTTACGTTCCGATGATGGTGATCATTAGTCTCCACAGTTTCCTGTTCTTTGTAACTCTAAGCAACAATTGGCCCTTTACCATCCATCCCAAACCAGTCTCTGCTCTGCCATCGATTTATATCAGCCCCTTACGCGGTTTATTAGCTCTTTCTCTCTGACTCCTTAACTTCTAGATATCCTGTAAGCATCAAATTCTCCAAGCCTTCTTTCTTCATTATTGTTATGGAAACTTACCCATAATAATAATGGACTATTCCTGACATTATAAATACTGCGCCTCTCAAGAGGTATGAGGAGATTGTAAGACGAGGAGAGATAATTGAGAGCATATTGTTAGGACATTGGAATAGTGATACTTGTCGAGACAACATAGTTCACTCTAACCAAATCTGATAGTCATTACTAATACTTCTACTTCTTTGTATTATATTTCTGTTGTAATATATCTTTGTATTCCATACCTGTGTTCGTGTTATTCTTTCATTTGGTTCTAACCTTGGACCATCACAGTGGTACAAGGAACTTGGACCATAACACTTATCTATCCCAGAAATGTCACCAGTCTCTGATTTTAACTATAAGTATCCTTCTAGTTACCTTTTTTTTTATCAAAACTTCCTCGTTGCTGCTCACATGACCCGTCCCGGACTATTCCCAGCATCCTTCTTTAGAACATCTCTGTTGCTTTAAATCTTTTCGTCATCTGCGAGGAAATTGTGTCCATTATTCACTGCCATACAAGAGGATTGATATTACATAGTTCAGCACGTTTTTTTTTCTTCTTTTTTTTTCAGCAAGATTTTTCCTCTCTCTATTACTTTACTTAGCTTTTGGAAGGCATCTTTCGTTTTTCCATAGCGGATGGGAGATGACTTCATCGCTTTTTCTCTCACCGGTTACGTCAGCATCCCGATAGTAAATCTTCTGTCCCTGCTTGATTCATGTATCTCTACTATTTAGCTTCCACCTTGGTCTGTTCCTCTTGCTGACGGCCATACATCCAAGCTACCACATCCTTTTATAATTGTGTAGCTAACTCCGTAGTTTACACGACCATTACGCCTTGCCAGCACCTCATCAATACTGGACTGTTCAATTTTGATCGCGTGGAAAGACAAAAAAACTTATCAGAGACGTTACGTGGTTTCAGTGGAAAAAGAAAAAAAGAATTGTTTAACGTTTCCTGCTTATACTTCATAAATAATGGAATATTCCGTTTTGATTGCGTGTGAAGACAAGACATCAAAGATGTTACTTGGTTTCAGCGAGAAAATGAGAAAAAGAATGGAAGATAGAAACGTTTCACGTCTGTTTCAGTGAAATTTTAAAAGTTGTCCATTTCAAATCTTTTTTTATCTTACTTCTTAAAATAACGAAAAACATTCATATTGATGATTGTTATTGCAATATTTTGTCGAAGTTCTTAAGCTCAAATATTTAACGATGAGATAGCGAATTTTCTCCGGATATTTTATTGTTGTATAATTCACCATGAAATTAAAATTTAAGATTCATCAGAAATCTCAAATAGGCGAACAGTGAAATTTTCACGGATCTTTCTAATAATAATAATAATAACAATAATAATTGTTAAGAACACCACCCAGACCACGTTACGGAGAGAGGAGCTGTAACAATTTTATGGGACTACACAATACACATAGACGGAATAATCAAAGCTAACCCCCCCCAAACATCGTTCTTAGAGACTGCAAAAAAATTACCTCCTTATTGATATGGCAGTCCCTGCAGACTGTGATGTATATTTGATGACCTTCAAAAACTATCAAAATACAAGGACCTTGAATACATGGGAACATCAACAATCCCTGTTGTAATTGGAGCCTTCGGATTGGTTGGAAAAGATTCCAGTAGACTCATTAAAGGGATTCCTGGAAGCCCATGACTTAAAGAAATACAAAAAAATTGTTCTCACGAGTACAGCCCACACATTACGAAGAACTTTATCTTTGTAAAATACGTGTTGTTGTTTTTTAGTTTTTTTGTTTTGTTTTTTTGTTTTTGTTTTTAATTTGTCAGTAGAAAATGACATGATGCCATTTCTAATCTTAAGTCTCTGGGCGGCACCCGGAAAGAAATGTGTATACACCAGAAATCAAAGTAAATAAAATAAAAACAATAATAATAATAATAATAATAATAAGGAAATAAATAAATGCACACGCACAAAAAATATTATTAAGTCTTTTAAAAGAATAAATTTTTAGAGAAAAACCGGTTTTTATCAAAAGAATACTGAGGAGAGTGCTGGTGTGTTCGGGAGACTTGTTGTCACTTTATATCCGAGGAAAACAACTCAGTTTGAATAGTAAGGGGATAATAATGGTAATAATAATAATAATAATAATAATAATAATAATAATAATAATAATAATAATAATAACAATTATAATGACATTAATAATAAAAATAATAATCGTTTTATCTGCTGCAATTTGTACAAAAAATATGCATAAAACAAAACACATATCAGAGACGCTGCTTGGTTTCATCGAGAAAAAGAAAAAAAGAAAGAAAGAAAGAATGGAAGTTAAAAGTGTTTAACGTCTGTTTCAGTGAAATGAAAAAATTGCCAATTCCAGATCTTTTCATTTGTCCCGCCTTACTTCTTTAAATAACAACCAGATTTCTACAGATATTTTATTGCCTTGGAACTCGCCATGAGCTTATTCAATCATAAACTGAAGAATTAAGATTCATCAGAAATTTAAAATAGGAAAACCGTGAAATTTTCTCGTTTAAATAAATATTACAAAGAGAAACGTATAAGTTAGGCGAAGACGTACATGAAAACTGGTTTTCATACACTCATATGATCAAGCGACACCGAAATGAAAGCAATAAAAAAAAACGGTCGGTTGGGGATAGCGGCAGGGAAGAGGACGTGGCGATGGTTGAATGTTTGACAATAGTTGGGAGCAGAGTCTCTTTGATGACGGTAAGAAGTGGTATTGTCTTGGTGTCACCTCGTCAGGACATTTCGGTTTGTCTGATGGAAGCAGGTGTTAATCTCGGGGTACGTCACCTAGCACACCTGATGGACTGGTGATCGGGGAATGTCTCGCTTTTCTGGTCAGGTAAAAATAGATAGCGCTGCTAGTCAGGGGTGTAGCAGAGGTGAGTTAAGATATTATCTTGTTATGAAGTGGAACTGAAGTGGAAGATGACGAAAAGGTAATATTGTATTTTGGGGAGTTTGAAAACAAAACTGTGTGCCTTAATCTCGTTTACTGAATGCTCAAGTTGATTTCAGTTCATTGCAAAGATCTCTGCAGCTACTTGCAAAAACACAGGTTACAATATTGACTATTGATTAATATCGCATATGTAATTACAACAGTAATTTTAAGTAATGAATGCCAAGGTACATTGGCTAGACCTGAGGATAGGCCTGGAGGTTGGATCCATTATGGAAAGAGTCGATCAACACAACTTAGAGGACAATACTTTATCGCCATATTTATTGCAACGTTTCGGCCGTTGTACGCTCCGGGCTTCTTCAGGTGGTTGGAATGTCGAACTGAACCCTTTATTTCGCTCACTGGGGTACACTATTCTAGTTCCACGTGCCATGCCTAATGTCAGTTATCAGTTATCTCCTGTCAATTCCCCTCTTCAAGATCTCTATCGCCTTAACCAGGTATTGAACTCACACTCTTTGGGTCCTGTCACGGAATCTCACCAACGCCTGTCTATGAATTGCTGGGTATTATAAACCTAATGTCTTCAGCAACCATTTTTAGCATTACCGTTGTAATAAATATGGCGACAAAGATGAGGACAATAGTCCGAATAATGTAAATAGTATACATAATACCTCATCTCAGAAATATAGACAGATACTGAAGGATCGTATAAATATGGCGACATAGATGAGGACAATAGTCCGAATAATGTAAATAGTGTACATAATACCTCATCTCAGAAATATAGACAGATAGTGAAGGATCGGATAAATATGGCGACAAAGATGAGGACAATAGTCCGAATAATGTAAATAGTGTACATAATACCTCATCTCAGAAATATAGACAGATACTGAAGGATCGGATAAATATGGTGACAAAGATGAGGACAATAGTCCGAATAATGTAAATAGTGTACATAATACCTCATCTGAGAAATATAGACAGATACTAGATGACAATATTTGGGTGGCGAACTAGGCATTAAATTAATAGCTTCCATTAAAGTTTTTTCCAGGTTTTTAAATGAGACGTTTAGACATTATGACACCATTTGTCGTAAGACTCACTGAAAATCCCTTTAAATTATTCAGCTAGAAAGAGAATAGGTTAAAATCGTTTTTGTCTTAGCCCCACTACGTCTTCCCAACTGAGCAATGGCGAGAGGAAAAAGATCATTCAGGTCTTCAGTAATGGTACCAACATTCATAATCTGGCTTCCATCTTCAACATCTGCCCAAAGTCCATCGAGAGAATGGTGAATATATTTAAAAAAATTTAGAAATAAAGAGAGGAAAACTGCATCCGGAAGTCACAACAGCAAGAGGCGTTATCATTTCAGCTTAGAAATAAATACATTTTTATTATTTAAAGACAGTTCCTCTTTGTCGCCATATTTATCCGATCCTTCACTATCTGTCTATATTTCTGAATAATTCCATGTACAAGATATCTTATTCGGAATTGTCCTCATCTTTTGTATACATAAAAAATCTCGAATAATTCCAGTAAGATATCTTTCATCATTTCTTATATACAACGGTTGAAAGCTTAACCTAACAATTGGACAATTATGCTGTTACACGTGGCATACAAACATTTTTGCAAAATACTATTTATTTAGTAATTCTTTACTAAATTTATAGTAGACATATTAAAAAGAAATTTAAAGCAAAAAAGAAATAATTTATAACAAAAAAAAATTCATAACAAAAAAGAACAAATTTATAACAGAAAAGAAACAATTCCTAACAAAAAGAATAAATTCATAAGAAAAAGAACCAACTCAAAACAAAAAAGAAACAATTCATAACAAAAAGAAAAAAATCATAAGGAAAAGCATAAATTCATAGCAAAAAGAAACAACTCATAACAAAAAGAAGCAATACATAACAAAGAAAAACCAATTCATAACAAAAAAAGAAACAATTCATAACAAAAAACAAATTCATAATAAAAAAGAAACAATTCATAACAAAAAAGAACAAATTCTTCACAAAAAAGAAACAATTCATAACAAAAAACAAATTCATAACAAAATAGAAACAATTCATAACAAAAAAGAACAAATTCTTCACAAAAAACAATTCATAACAAAAAACAAATTCAAAAAAAAAGAAACAATTCATAACAAAAAAAACAAATTCATAAACAAAAAAGAAACAATTCATAACAAAAAAACAAATTCTTAAAAAAAAAACAATTCAAAACAAAAAACAAATTCATAACAAAAAAGAACAAATTCTTCACAAAAAAGAAACAATTCATAACAAAAAACAAATTCATAACAAAATAGAAACAATTCATAACAAAAAAGAACAAATTCTTCACAAAAAAGAAACAATTCATAACAAAAAACAAATTCATAATAAAAAAGAAACAATTCATAACAAAAAAGAACAAATTCTTCACAAAAAACAAATTCATAAAAAAAAAATTCAAACAAAATCATAACATAAAAAAAGAACAAATTCTTCAAAAAAAAAAACAATTCATAACAAAAAAAAAATTCATAATAAAAAAAAAAAGAACAATTCATAAAAAAAAATTCAAACAAAATAGAAACAATTCATAACAAAAAGAAACAATTCATAAAAAAAACAAATTCAACAACAAAAACAAATTCTTAACAAAAAGAAACAATTCATAAAAAACAAAAAACAAAATAAAAATTCAAATTTCTTCACAAAAGAAACAAATTCAAAAAAAACAATTCATAACAAAAAAACAAAAAACAAATTCTTCATAAAAAAAGAACAATTCATAAAAAAAAACAAATTCATAATAAAAAGAAACAATTCATAACAAAAAGAACAAATTCTTCACAAAAAAAAACAATTCATAACAAAAAACAAATTCATAATAAAAAGAAACAATTTCAAAAACAAATTCATAATAAAAAAAAACAATTCATAACAAAAAAATTCTTCACAAAAAAAAAACAATTCATAACAAAAAACAAATTCATAACAAAAAAAGAAACAATTCATAACAAAAAAGAACAAATTCAAAAAAAAACAATTCATAAAAACAAATTCAAAAAAAAGAAATTCATTCAACAAATTCATAATAAAAAAAGAAAAACAAAAAGAACAAATTCTTCACAAAAAAAAAAATTCATAACAAAAAACAAATTCAAACAAAATAGAAAAATTCATAACAAAAAGAACAAATTCTTCACAAAAAAAACAATTCATAACAAAAACAAATTCATAACAAAAAACAAAAAACAAATTCATAACAAAAAAAAACAAATTCTTCACAAAAAAGAAACAATTCATAAAAAAAAAAACAAATTCAAACAATTCAAAAAAAAACAATTCATAACAAAAAAGAACAAATTCTTCACAAAAAAAAAGAAACAATTCATAACAAAAAAACAAATTCATAACAAAAATAAAAAATAGAAATTCATAACAAAAAGAAAAAGAAACAATTCAAACAAAAAAGAACAAATTCTTCACAAAAAAAACAATTCATAAATTCAAAAAAAAAAAATCATAAAAAAAAACAAAAACAAAAACAATTCATAACAAAAAAAATTCATAACAAAAAAACAATTCTTCACAAAAAACAAATTAACAAAAACAAAATAAAAACAAATTCATAACAAAAAAGAACAAATTCTTCACAAAAAAGAAACAATTCATAACAAAAAAACAAATTCATAATAAAAAAAACAATTCATAACAAAAAAAACAACAAAAAAGAAACAATCTTCAAAACAAAAAAAAATTCATAACAAAAACAAATTCTTCAAAAAAAGAAACAATTCATAACAAAAAAGAACAAATTCTTCACAAAAAAGAAACAATTCATAACAAAAAACAAATTCATAATAAAAAAGAAACAATTCATAACAAAAAAGAACAAATTCTTAACAAAAAAGAAACAATTCATAACAAAAAGAAACAACTCATAACAAAAAAAAATACATAACAAAGAAGAACCAATTTATAACTTAAAAAAAAAAACAATTCATAATAGAAAGAACAAATTGATAAAAAGAAAAAATTCATAACAAATAAAGAAACAATTCATAACAAAAAAAAGAAACAATTCATAACAAAAATGAGTAGCAATAAAAAATATATATTACCGTAAAATTGTTATAATTATTAACGTTTTACAATTATATAGATGGGAAATCAATATCTAAATTTCTTATATATCAATAGAAAATTAAGGAAAATCTATGACAAAGGGGAAAAACTTTTCGTCTGACACGTTTCGTCCCTCCTGACTTCATCAGACTAAAATGATGTCCACGCTGATATGATCACAGATGCGCACGAAGCCTGCCCCGCTAGCACTGTGCACTAAGGAGGAAAAAAGAAAAGTGATCCGATTTCTCTCGTCGCAAGGTGTATCAGGGACGGAAATTCCTCGGACACTTTTAACAACAGGCAACAGTGCACTACCACGTAGAAGTGTGTTGGAGCGGATTGAAGTGTCCGGACAAGCGTAACGGAAGGAGCCAAACGCCCGCCAATCTCCACCATTGAGGAGAAGATTCAGCAAGCTGGAGAGAATGATAATGTCGCATTATCATCGATGAGATAGCATGTTCTCTGCAGAGTTGGATCACTACTCTTTGGTATACACTGCTAGCGGAGCGGCCATGTTTACACTGTAAAAGCAGCAAGAAAACTAGCGCGATTACGTGACCATAATAGTACCAACTATAAGCGCGCATGAGCAGACGACAGTGTGACATGCGTAAAGATGTTATGCTGAAAGTT